TTTTAGAGTTACCTACACTAGAGTGGCAAAAGTGCTTCGAAAATTGGTTCGAGCCCATGCAAAAGTGTATAGATCTTAGTGTGGAGAATTCTGAAAGGCAGCGATTTTCAATAGATAGTATTTGTTTCTGTTCTCAAATCTCAAAATATAAAAAGCAACCTACGTAGTCGTTCACAATCATAAGAAAGCAAAAAACCCAAGTTACAGCAGAAGTGGCTCACCTTTCTCAGCCTCTAGGAGTAGGAAGGTAAATGAGGGAACGCGGGAGCAAAAAGAATAATAGAGGAAAGAGAATGGGAGAAAACATCGTCTCATCACTCGGCGATCAGCTGATTGTGTGTGGGTCCTAGAACGAATAGTTGCAATCTGTATTGTCTCGACACTCGTCTAACGTGACATCGATCGAGGGGCGTGAAAGCCAATTACGGCAGCAACAGAGCTTCCACTATGCCCTAAGCGCAGAGGTTGCAGGAGCGAGAGGGTCCCTTCTACCACCGATGAGGGGCGCTGTGTATTCCTGAAGAAAGAACTCAGTAACCTTTTCCATCGTGATCCGTGCCTTTAACAGGACGAAGGTGATACGAGGAAAATTGCGAGTGTTCACGTGTGTGTTTTTTTACCAATGACTTTACTTTCCAAAGAATGTTGTAGTTATCATCGTGATTTTCGCATTGTTGACCCAAAACTTTGAATGCTCCAAATTTTTTAACGAAGAACTCTTCTTGTCAGCCTAGTGAAACTGCACTGATTTGGCATGATTAGATCCAAAGTTGATGACTCTTTCACGCGTAATCCCATGGTATTGAAAAACATTCAATTACAGTTTCGACGCTCGAACCAAATGGTCAAAGTGTTCATCACTCAAACATATCCGTGACCAAGCTAATTGCGGTGAGCGGCTCATACTTAACTAGAGTAGTAGAAAACAGGATGGGATAGTGGATAGGGGAAGAAAACCTGCAGCACAATTTCTTAGGATCATGCTGGGCAGTATCAACAGCATCAGCCCTTTCGGATCGTATCTGCATTGCTAGTAACGGACGAAAACAGGTGAGGGTGATCAACAATGACTGGACGCTCTCTTGAATTCATGAGAAGTCTTTCAGGTGTATGTCTCAGCAACGGACATTCTTTCATGCTGCGGAACCCAATGTGGTTACGGGTATGATGATTCTATAATAATTAGCAGATTTGAAAAAGTTAGGGAGACGGGCAGTAGGATCGGCTTTGCGTAATCGATTCGCCGCACGCGGCTGTCGCGGACCATCCATTATTACAGCTTTAGTGTTGCTCATACAGCTCAATCGATATGAGATCACTATTTTAGACATGACTCTACTATTAGTTCTTTTGTTCCCGTATTTCTTACCAGCTGCTGCATTCTGCTACACTCCTTCGCGCACGACATCCCTCTCGCCGCTACGCGACTAATCCGATCCTACTGCACCACACTCAAAAAGGTATCATTACCGTCCTAGCAATGTTATACATGGTTGTCTTGCATAAGTGTTGGAGAGCACTATCCATTTTATCTAGATACAGAAGAAGTTGTTAGACCTGACTAGGATGATGTTTCCTGAGATATAAGTAGAAGCAGACTTCACAATTACGTTATATCCTATTTGACGTCGGCTAAATTCATTGTTTAGACAGAAACTATACACACTTGAATACTTAATATGCGTCAAGTAGGGGCAGAATTACTGTTTCGGAGTCATCGAACAAATCTAGCTATAATGGTGCCATATAGATGTAACGGTGGTTGGCCAATTCAAGCCTTCAACTACTTCTCAAAACAAGGTGCTGTCACTGGAGGAGATTACAAAGCTACGGTAGAGCCATAACATCTTTCTTATTGATACGCAATAATTCTATGATGACCGTGAATTCTAATTCTATGATTGGTAGAGCGGCTGCCGTCCTTACCCGTTCCATCCATGCGGGCATCACGGAAAAGATACGTACTACGGAGAGTGTCCAAATGAAGCAACTACTCCAAAATGTGTGAGGAAGTGCCAAAAAAGTTACAAGAGATCATACAAGAAGGACAGAACGCTCGGTATGTATACTTTTTGAGATCAAAAGCGCGATTTAGCGAGAATCGATCATTTATTGATCTCTGCAGCTAATCCACTAGTTTCGAAAAATATAATTCCAGCGAGTTAACCCACATGACTTCTGCACTTCTACGTCGGCTTCTACTCTGACGTACTTTTGTGCGTACTCACTATTTAGTTAATGCTAATTGCTAATGCTCACTGCTCATTGAAACTGATCTCTTCACTTTATACAGTTAAAATACAGATCTCCTTCGTTATCTACCTAATCTCTCCGTGAATCTCTTTTGCTATTCTGTAAAGAAGTGCGAAAGGTCTCTCAAACGATTCTGTAAAGTATGTAGAAAACACTACGAACTCTCCAAGCTCATCGGCGATATGAACGACAGAACTGAACTTAAAAGGAATGCCAATAAACTTACATCGGGAATCACGGATCGGAATGGCATGAGCAGCATGGGGAACCTCTATCATGTTCACCGACGCCATGAATGATATCTTGCCGTTCCAAGGCTTTCATTCACGACTAACTTGGGTTTCACCGAGTGGCCAAATGTTTTATGAAATTGATCAAATCACCCAATGCAAAGTGTTGTTTGATAAACGTCATTGCTGTTCTACAAGTTCTATATGGACGAGATCGAGCAATCGTCTTCTACGCATAAGGAGACGATTGTCCAATCTCGTGGCGAACTGAAGGAACTTCTCAATTTTGCAATCCGGATGTTTTACAATTCGCAGAATTCAGAAGACGATACCCCACTAAATCTTCAATCACGGTTGATTCGCTTCTCTTGCAAGTTGCTGGAAGAATCCTCATCGACAACGTCGAAGGATAGATCCGTTCCGTCGAACACCTTCACGATAATGCCAAGAAAGAGGAAAATTTAAAAGCCACCTAGTAATGTCTCTCTTAAAAGATTCCCGAGCTGATACGGCGAACAATTGCCAACTGACCTCCGAAATTTAAGAACTGTGCGGAAAAGCGATGAAGAAAGATCTAATAAGAGAAGAGCAGCTGTTCTGGACAAAGCCATGAGGCCGGGAAGAGCACTGATAATGCAATACCAAAATTACGACATCCCGTTATGAGGAAACAGATTCTGCATTTAGGAAGACGATGGAGAAGGTCATCTACAACTTTTATTTGTATCTAATCAACGCGCGTCGATCCGTTTAACTACCTCATCAAGCAGAATAACTATGTCACCCACTCATTTTTACCGTCTAAAATGAGACATACCATCACGCCGATGAAGATGGCACGGCGTTTGGTTCCGATGAGGTCCATTCACAACTTCTACGAAACCTACCAGCCAAAAACTTGACGTGTCCATTTTTACGCGAAATCTGTTAAATCCAAGTCAACCAGCCAATTGAAGAACCAGCAAGACTGTATTGCTGTATAAGAAGGAAACCCAGGCCCATAATGACAACTATCGCCCAATCTGTCTGCTCGTTGCAGTTTACGAGCACTTCACACAAGTCATCCTCAATAAAGTTGGCGAGGCACTGGATAAGGGCAGCTAAACGTGATCCCGGCGGGGTACAGTCAACCATCTTCACACTATCACAAAACTTATCGTGGCGTCACGAGAGCACAAGGTGCCGCTGTGTCGCACGTTCATCAATTTGAAGGTTTCTGATAACGCTAAGGCAGAAATGGTAGCTAAAGCTTTGGGCAACTAGGGTGTAGCTACTCAAAATGTAAGGATACATCGAGCCTCCACAATTGAAATTACGGCTAGTATCTTACCATTTTACAAAGAAATCAGCGTAAATGTAAAGAAAGGAGGTGGCAGAGCTACTAAGTATCTTACCGAAACTTCACAGTAGGCGATCACTTCTGCCAGAAGGCGGTCGAATTACTATGCATTAAGTTATAGGCGGCGGCAAGATTATTATATTTACATAGCTTCCGCTTCGCAGACAAAATCTAGCTAAAACAATTATTATCAAACAGTGGGAACGGATGCTGGCTAAATTTGTCATTCGTAGGAAGATCTGCACCATGTTCTTCACACTAAACCGTGCTTTGTGCTCCTTTCACTCTAAAGGGAACGATATTTTTGGACACTTCAGCTACACTTGTCTACGTCGAGAGGTCGACATGATGAACAACCTAGCTTCAAAGCAAAGCAGAAGGAAACGCCAAACTTGGGGAACCGTTTGGACTCTACTGCGTTTTCCATCTTTCGATATTGATTTCAACACTGCAATCCTTCAGTCTTACGTTGCGCTTCGTTGAACCTGGATTCTGCCTAGATAGGATGAGGATGTAGTCAGCCTCGTTTTTCACTGTATCAAAATCAATGTTCCTATTCACCGATTAACGCTGGAAGAGTTCCGAACTTTTTAAATCATTCAAAAAGCTGGATCCCTCGGAAGTCAAACAAATTTCGAAATGGTCGCCAGCCTTATGACTAAGGTTCTTCGTGATAGCTCTGAACAAATGGGAGAGCAAGTTCCTAAAGAGAGTAAGGTCTACTGGTCTACGTTGGGTCGCCACGAGATGAATGGAGATTCGACTAATACTTGCTCGAGCAACGGAACGACGGATGGTTCAAGCGGTATTTGACGAAATTTCAAGCAACTGGCCTCTCCAGAGCAAAAGATGATTTTTGAGACGTAGACGAATGGGAAATTGATAGCGTAATGCGGGCAAGCGTAAGCAATCAGTGCATGATTTTCAGGCAAAGATGCTTATGAACTACCCAATTCGGAGAAAGCTATCCAGAGGGAGATCATGAAGAATGGACCTGTCGTCGGTGCTTTCACTGTTTATGAGGACTTCTCCTACTACAAAAAAGGAATCTATAAGGTGAGGATTATGCAAGAACATGAAACCTCCCAGAAATGTGCATGTCCAAAACAACACCAGAATTTCTTCATACATTGCCATGCACTTGATGTTTCTAGGTAATTACGACCAAATACTGACAATATTTTCTTCCAGCACACAGCAGGTAAAGCACGAGGTGGTCATGCTATTAAGATAATCGGATGGGGTAAGGAAGGTGGTGTGCCATATTGGCTCATTGCTAATTCGTGGCACAATGACTGGGGAGAGAATGGTGAGTATTAAACTGCCTCCTGGAACTGAACTCAGTGAAGGTAGAGCCTTACATGCTTTACTACCCACTTTCATTTGTATTTGAATATGAGTGAGTCTTGCAGGCTACTTCCGCATACTTCGTGGAAGCAACCACTGTGGAATTGAAGAAAACGTTGTAGCCGGACACGTCTGATTATGGTTATTGCCACATTGATGCAATAAAGTCTCGAAGAATAGTCTTTTCTTGAAGGTGTTCAGAAGTAGAGCGATGGCTTCTGCAAAATTTCTCAGTAAGTTTGATGCGCAGTCCACGATAAAAATGGTTTTGATATTTCTCCCTGAGAAGAATATGACCCCCAAATTAGCATAAGGGACGCTATCAGGTCGAAAAACTCCTAGATAGGGCGTAATAAGGGCTCCAAACTCGGGCGTACAGACTTGAAGGCAGACGTGTACTTACGGCGTTGTAAAGGCTTTAGGAGCTACACATTCGCACTGGGATGCACAGTTTGCACATAGACAGCTTACTGTAACCCGCTTTACGCAATGGCACACACATTTGGACTACTCGTCCAAATACCCCTTCTATGCAACTACTGTTGTAGCAATGAAGCTCTGGATTTCTGTGAGATACGCGGATTTTCGAGTTTTTGCCATGGCTTTTGCATTATTCTGGAACATCAGTTCTATGTATTATTCATCTAAAATTAGATACACAAAATTATAGCGGATTGTGCCTTTGAGAAAGGCCATATACCTGAATGGTTGCGATTTGTTATCGTATCAGTTGCATCATATAAACAACATATTTCACAAGAGCACCAAAGATTCACTGCCAAACGATAAGAATTTCACGTACATGCAATTCTACCACCTACTAGCCATTAGGAGCAGAGACACGAAGGCTAAGACACTTAGCCGCATAAGAAGAAGGAAGCTTCTCTTAAAAGACAAAAACAATTAGCTGTGCTTACTCTGCTCTAAGAACTGTTTTACTAGAGATAATGTTATCGTAAAGATAATCACAAAAAGTTTAGACACCAGACAAAACTTATGCTAGTCCAGTTTTCAGAAAAGGGAGACAATGACACTTTTTGCTGTTAGACGATCACCGTATCTCTCGAAGCGCCCAAACTGTATTCGCTTATTACTATAAGGAAGGCAAGGGATAATGTGCGAAAGTAAAAGCTAATGTCAACAGACCTGCCAGACTAGCTAAATGTGAAGAGCATAAGTTTACGGCTACTCGTGACGTTACTATCTCAAAGGATAGCCTTAACCTGTGCCATTTACGTCGTATCGGAGCTCTCTGAACTCCACTTTGCAGGTATTGCTGGTAGTACGGGTATATGTGTTTATGCCCCTTTTTTCGAAAACTCGTTCTGGATACTAAGAAAGTGGCTAGGGCTCCAGTACTCAAAAGTTCTATAGTATCATCCTGCAAAAAAGCGCAAACTACGGTTGTGGCTGTGATTGCACAAGAACAACCCCTTACAGGTTTACGCCCACATTTTTGGGGTTTCCTAATCACATTATTGCAAACGATATCAGGACGAAGTTCACTGGACTTTGGTGCGTAGTGCTGCAGTAGTCGGGTAAACACATAAAAATAAAGGAATTCCAAGTATTAGTACATGAAACATCAACCGCAAAGCCCTCATGCTACACTCGGAATAGTTTCAGTTCATCTCCAAAGCTTAAATGAAGCCCTTAGCCTGAATAACCTTTCCTTGACCAAATTTTTAGTATTATACAAACTATTCGAGTTCGAGTCCCGTCGAGGCCAAAGTTTAGCCCAGAACTCGCCACCCTTATGAGAAAACAATACAGTCGCGCAATCCTGAAGCTGGCTTCACGGTTAGAGCTCAATATGAATAAGTGTCCTGAACGTTATTGGTNNCGATGAATACAGCTTTACTATTCCGTGGAGACAAGCAGAAAGGATCAGATTTCGTAATCATAATTGTAATAGTTGATAACCGATTTACCAAGCGGATCCGAGTTAAGCCTGCAGTCTTGCATTACGCGAGTCAATGCAGTCCAAAGGCACTTTTCACTTGAGGAATAGGTACCATTCCTTTTATTCAGAGCTTCCGTCAGGAAGTCTGGGTATCGAGCTGGCTGTAGCTCCGATGTTCCTTTACGTCCACAAACCAGTTAGTAGCCGAATCAGCACAACGCCCAAGGCATCATTCCCGGGCCATCACCCAATCGGGGACTGCTTTTGATCATTTTCGATAGAAATACATGTGTAGATGAAAATGGTGGTCAAAGTGTTTGGGTGAATTGCAAATTTGTAATTAAAAAAGAATTCGATCTCAGATGCAATATACTTTCCTTAGAAATCTAACATTGCATCACACCTGATAGTTGAAAAAACTCATCGAAGTTGCAAAATTTATCATAAGCTTCATGATTCCTCTTCAAGAAGTTTTTTGAAAGCCGATGAACTTCGAATTTCTGTAGCATTATTCATACACTGTTATCGGCTCTATGCTACTATTAGAACCCCAAAAACCTCAACTTTTCCCCTCATTGAAAAGTCGCTTTCTCGGGAGTGATTCAGCACCTTTCAACTATTATGAACTCACTTCCGCCGCTGATACCGTCTGACTCCATAGCTTGAAAATTACACTTTGACTTGGCTCTCACTGATGCTGTCGAAAAAGTGTAGTAGGCAGAGTGGCGGAGACAAGTGGCGAGTGTAGGTTGCGTTTGATATCAAACCATCGAATTAGCCTATCCCTAGGTTACCAATAATTACTAGGGGAACGGGGGTGCGTTTCGTTGCGTCCGTCGAAACTAGGTCACGCTGCAGCCGTCGCATGCGGCGGATCAGCCTGCGATACTTGACAGACGTCGCAGTTGTCTGGAGAGCATACGATTTGCGCTTGGTCCACGGCATTCAGCTCAAACAGAAAATAACACGAACAAAAGCAAATTATTCGTTCCACTGACAGTTGGTGGTACTGTAATATCACCTCGAGACCACAATGGCTGCGCCGTGCGCGGAGTGGACGGAGAGACCTACTTTTAACGGACGCGCGGAACGGACGCTCTGCGGGGAACGGACATGGTGTCACACTTATGCAAAATGGCTTTAGTCCCAAANAAATAAGACATGGAAGCAGCGGTGTACCTCTGCAGATGTGATTGGAATGAAATTTTCTTCTAAATTTCAAGTGAAAGGTTTTGAATTGGAGTATTTCAATAGCTCCTTTTGACGATACTTCGGGGAATGTCGCTGAGTTACCTTCACTCTTCACATAGCTTTCGGGTGTTCTCGTAGTTTAATGCACTGCATTATGTACTGCACTAAATTGATGCCATTCGCATTAGTAATAAATCTGAGTAAAAACGAATTTGTACTCTGCTTTGCGGTGGTCCTAAATACCTTATCTTCTAATCTGGAACGGAAAGAAATCTGGAATGTTCGCAATTCCACTCCTATTTTTTATAACTTTAATCGACTTCTGAATGTAAGTAGCAGTGGTCTGACAGGGTATTACTGATATTGCCAAGGTACGTGGGTGGGTTGGAGAAGCCGTTGATGGAAAAAGTTTCGAATTACAAATCAGTGACTGACTTAATGCAGGACCATTATTCTCCCATGGTCGACTGTACATTCACGAAATCTCTCGTGAACTTGATAGGAAACATATATAAGGCGGTTTCGGTCGATTTGCCCACAAAGTTTTGGAGGGGACTGATCAAATAAATATGACAAAGCTGGAAACGGCCAAATAGATATGACAGCGGGGAACGGCAACAGTGGTGGGATGTGGTTCATCCGAATCGGAATAGGCGTTTCGCGGCGAAAGCGACGTCGCGCACAATGGATTGTAGCAAGTCAGGCTAAAGCATCGCAGTGGGTAAAGGATACAGGAGCAAAGGGAGCGACAGTAGAACCATGTCAAAAAATCGCGTATCGGTCAAGCTGTATGAAGAAGGCTGGAACTGCAATAAGAAGGCACTAGTCAGTGACAGCCGCGGACGGTGCGTCGATTACCCGAAACCGATTTTAGTGACCGTCTCCCCAGGTGATGTAGTGGCACTAACATAATGCAAGGTCAAAGCTTCAAATCCCGACGCCCAGGCCAACCAAGCTTCCCATCACACCGTGGTCGATTATATGCTACCAAACTCATCTGAGAAGATTAAACCACTGACTTGTACGTCGGCTCTGACCACCGCAAGTCATTGTATACACACATACGCATTCAATACGTCACTACGGTTCTAAATAGAAGGCGACTACGGAGGAGCATCCCTCTAAATGTAATGATCAATGGCAAAGACTCTATCCTTGAACACTGTTGCGACAAAGATGGGATGGTGGCATTTCCAGGTCCTCTGCAAAACAATCGTCAAAGGAAGTGCGTGCTGCCTTTGCTTTGAAACTGATTTCTTCTACATCCTGCACTTATTTATCCGAATGACACCCTAAGATGCTTTTGTTTCTAACCCATGATAAAACATCGACATATAGCCAGCAAGATGATGATCCGATCAAGAGTACATGACTATACTCACTCTCGGTCATTTCAATTGATAAAGCTGCAGTAGACCAGTGAAAAACTCTTGGGTGTGGTGAGATAGCTGACTTGTCCGATCTATCAGCCCTTCTTCCGAATTCTTGTAATACCCTTCTTATCGAAAGTCAAAAGTCTAATCCTTAAATGACAGCTGAGCGTAACGAATATAAGGAGATACTCACGTAACTACGACATCCGAAGCGATGGTAAGTTATTTCCATAGTGACTGTTTCTGGAAGTTTTTCTAGAAACTGACTGATCGAAATGCTGTCCATGTTCCAGAAGTACGTTATACTTGCGCTCTGCATTTACCTATCCCAAGCAGCTCCCGCTTCCGAAGCGGATGTGCTCGGTTAGTATCATTTTTAAGCCACAATTATATTTGATATAAGTAAGTTATTGACCGCTTCGGTCTTGCAGCTTCGCTGAAGCATAAAAAAATCTCCTCAGAGGCGCAAATGCTGAGTGGCGAACAATTAGTCAAGTATTTGAAAACGAACCAGAACTTGTTCGAGGTAATACCTCAGTCGCCGAAATCCAAACGCCGATTCACACAATCGCTGTTTGCAGGCTGAAATTACACCACACAGCCAGAATGTAGTGCACAAGCTAATGGATTTCAAATACATTGATCAAAATAGAATGCCTGTGGCTGGGGACGTAGACGACGACGAAGACGATGACATCCCGGAGAGGTAGGTCTCGAGACTCGAAGCGCTAAATTCCGCCTCAAAGCTGTAAGTCCTGCCCACAACCACGCTCTATGCTCCATCAGAGGTGGACATACCGTTGATGATGCCCAAGATGTACGAAATCGTTGAAGTTCAAAATCGTCACGTAGAGCGCATCTAGAGTTGACAAAACAATGCCAGCTATAAACGAATCTGACGAAAGAATCACTATGACCCGCCCTGGCGCAATAGAAGTAAACAATAGAAGTACACAAACAACATTACGGATTTGAGTCCAGGCCGTGGCCGAAGTTCTGCAAATAACTAGCCAAACTCATTAGAAGTAAACATTTAACACACTTTGCAGTTTCGACGCTCGACTTCACTGGTCTAACTGCCCTTCGCTAAGACATATCCGTGACCAAGCAAACTGCGGTGAGCCCCTTCTCATGGGGAAACTGGGGATTTGATGGAACGGGTGAATGTGTAGAGGACTAACCAAAACTTTACCTTTTCAGGTTCATGCTGGGCAGTGTCGTCGGCATCTGCCTTTTCAGATCGTGTTTGCATTGCTACTGGAGGAGAAAAGCAGGTGCAATTGACCACTTATGTTTGTATCCTGCTCCAAAACCATTTGAATAATTTCAGGTGTACGTTTCGGCGACTGACATTTTGTCGTGCTGCTATCTTTGTGGTAAAGGGTATGATTTCTTAATTGTCTCTGACATTCAAAAGTTTTCTCTATAACAGTATTCAAGGTGTTATTTGCTACCACTTTCAGCACCTTTAACAGAAAGCATTTTTAGAGAACTTTTCCGAAACAAACTGAAAATTTGAGGGTCATTTTTGCAGTGGTTTGTCATACCCAGCATATCTCAGGGAGCTTGATAAGGGGTCCCCGGTAGATTGTAATAGGTGAAGTAGCAGGTAGATTGAAGAAAAGAGAAATTCAAGGCATGTTGAGCAGTCGTGACACTAATCAAGAGAAGGAATCGTTGCAACGGCTATATGTCGTTTCAGATGTGATGGTGGCTGGCCAATCGAAGCTTTCCACTACTTAACATATCGGGGGGCTGTCACTGGAGGAGACTACGGTGCTACGGTAAAGTTGTAAAAATTTCTTCAAATGTCCTGCTAAATTCCTATCCTCTTCTTGTTGTTAGGATGGCTGCCGTCCCTATCCGTTCCATCCATGTGGACATCATGGAAACGAAACATACTATGGCGAATGTCCGGAAGATGCAATCACTCCCAAGTGTGTAAGGAAATGTCAAGAGGGTTACGAAAAAGAATATCATGAGGACAGAGTTCTCGGTATGTATAGATATTGAAGTTGGGAATGAGATTTTGCAATAACTAGATTTTATTGATACTTCTCAGAGCATGACACAGTTCACGACAAAAATGATGTCCGATTCTAGTATCAACCTGTGACTATCAAGCGTAGCAGAGGGGATAATGTCGGGTGAAAAAGTGGCCTAAATAGGGCGTAATCAGAACTGCAGTACGAGAACAGCCGACGTGACACCCATACGTGTGCACCGAGACGCACGTTGCACGAAGGCAGCTTATTGTAGCCAGCTTTACGCAATGGCACACATATTTGGAAGGGTTTGTGGACGAACGTGTGTCCGAGGACGCACGCGGAAAATTGCGCGGCGAAGTTCGTGACGATTTGAACGGCTTTAGCGCCTATCAAAGGGGTCCAAATTTGAATAAGAGTAGATTAGAAGAACCCTACTAAACTACTTTACTTCAAGTTTGTGCCCCGAAAATTGGCGCCAGAGCCGTACAAATTGTCACGAACTTCGCCGCGCAAGTTGCCACGCGCATCCTCGGACGCATGTAGTGCACGTTCCTCCTCTCCCCTATTCTGGACTATCGCTTTCATAATTCGAGTCAAACCAGACACTCCGAAATTATCGTGAGCTTAGCCTTCAATTACTCTTACGGTAAAAGGGCAAATCGAATGTAGTACTGAAAACATAATCGTACATTTCGACCGCTTTGAAACTCTCCTAGTTCATAATCCCAGCATCTTTAGGCAAACTCCCCGGAAAATTAAACCGAGCCTCTAGGCCACCTCTTACAGTCAAAACTTTCTCATTCGAGGCTAGATATTTACCACTTTGACAAATTCGAAACAAGTTGGATTTCTAGGTTCTGCATAAACTTAAATTCTGATTGTGAGAAACAGCGCTGATAAGAGCAAGAGGCGAATTCACTAATGGAAAATACTGGAAAAGTTACAGCATAGCTCAAGGAACTGTCGCTTACTGTAGATCGAATTTTCAGGGGAAGACGCTTACAGACTACCAATAGGTTCAGTAAAGGCTATTCAGAAAGAAATCATGAGGAACGGACCCGTTGTCGCAGCTTTCATTGTTTTCGATGACTTTTCGTTCTACAGGAGAGGAATCTACGCGGTGAGGACTTTTGCATATACATGACACTTTCTTCAAATAGACAATGCAGACCAACTATGATACCAACCTTCTCCAAAGGTTACCGTATCGGCAACCGAGGGATATCTCCCATAATTTACAGTCATGGCTTTTCGCCAAAGCAACCGTTCACCAACAATGCTTGATTCCAGCACGTAGCAGGTAAGCCACGAGGTGGTCATGCAGTGAAAATAATCGGATGGGGTACCGAACACGGCGTGCCCTACTGGCTCATTGCTAATTCGTGGCACAGCGACTGGGGAGAGGACGGTAAGTGTGTGTAAACGACACTTTCTGGCACTTTACTCAGTATACACCACAAATATACGGGTGTAACTCACTTGCCTTTATAATTAAATGTGAATGATTATGTTGCAGGTTACTTCCGAATGGTTCGCGGAATAAATGATTGTGGCATTGAAACAAACGTTGTCGCCGGGAAAGTCAAACTATGATCATTTCTATACAGACGTACGAATGTACAATAAAGTTTTGAAGGGCATCCAGTCATGAAAGATTTTCAGAAAAAACACATTTTCCGAAGCTTGATTGTGTAACATAATATGGCTTCGTACTGATAAGTTTTTTGTTCCATATAAACTAAAGGACGTCATATAGTCCCGCTGCAGTCACATAAGCTTGAAGCGCTCATACTGTCACGCTTTACATCGGATAATAACGCATTTCATCAGAACACCATAACAAAAATCATTCTGAACAGGCAGGAACCATAGCGTAGGAGACTCAACTGGGAGCCGTAAGGCAATTCTGGGTACTATCAACATTTCCTATCACCTGTTGTGCAGTTGATCATTGATCTCCTTGAGCGGGCATCTGTAACGCCTAACCGCATAGTAAGCGCTCAATACCCAGCCCACCTTATCTTCTACTTCTTGACGTACGCACACCATCCCTGATTTTCGACTGTTGAGGGGCTCGGAATTCCGGATTCACTTTTGCATTGCACTTGCAAGTGTCGGGTGTTTCCGAGCGTCACCGTTTCTACAACTCCTAAACTGACGCTGTTTGCATGCTCATCCTGCTCTCATAGGTTCCGAGTCTCCGAGGCGTATTTCGAAGCAGAAAGACTTGCAGTGCCGAACAGGTGAGCGAGGAACCGGATGCTGTCTTCTTCGCTGTTGCCTCTTTTCTGAATGGTACGCACAACGCACGTTCCCCTTTACTTATTGTTAGCTGGGAAAGTCCTTACAAGTATAGGTCGTTCACCATGCTAAATTCTCGACGCAATACACGTAGCTAGAGCATTCAGAAATGTTTGTCCGTTGAACGCTGAAGGTGCATCAGGTACCGACCTCTTTCTCATAAAGATTGCCGTCGTTGAGTTCAGACTCAAACCGATCTTGCTACAAGTGCTCTCAAATTTGGTCGGCACTCGTCCCATCCGCTCGATGGTCCGTGTTATAAGCATGATATTGTGTGCAATTCGGTAAGTTTGCTGATGCAAGTAGCGACCTCGAACTTCATTTTCAAGTCATCCCATTTCAAGTGACCCATGATTTTCTCGAGACTGGCACTGAAAATTCAGGGTGGAATGTCATTTCCCTGCCAAACCGCTTTCTTAACTTTGACAATGACTTCCTTATATGCTCTAGTGGCGAAATCCAAGCCATGAAATTGACGTAGAGCTCACAAAGCATCCTTAGGTATTGAGTGGAATACGCTGGTTGGTTACCCATGGCTTCAATTACCGCTTCTGTCTCAACAGTATTGAAGGCCTTCTTCAAATCTATGAGCGTCAGACATAATGGCGCTTCGTGTTCTCGCGTAACTTCGATGAGCCTTGAAACAGTGCGGATGTGATCGATTGTATTGAAAGCCCTTCGAAACCCTGCTTATTCGCTCAGCTGTCCTTCATCTAATATTCTACCGATCCTGTTGAGGACGACGTGAAAAATTATAGACTACTGACAGCAGGCGACTGGGCAATAGTTGCCAGTACCGTCGGGATCTTCCTGATTATGCAACGACGCAGTCTAGTTAGTTTCCCTTAGGACTGGCACTTTGCATTCCGGCCAGAACCACTTCGCGTGAAGAGCCTAGCCAAAATACTGGCAACAACTGGTAGGAAACTCTTTAGATGTTCTGGTTTGATCTTGTCATGACCGAGCGCCGTACAATTCTTCATTCTGATGATAAGCAAATTAGAAAGAGAGCACTGAAAAAATGACATATCAGTCTTGCTCAAAATGGTAGGTAACAGGTAGACGTGTAAGGATGTCGGGTAGATCCGAGAAGAAGTCGTAGAGAACATTCTCTGTTGCCCTTCGAGATGCAATATTCAGTCAGGACAGCAAAGGAAAGTCATACTGGTCTTGTTACTCGCGAAATTCCGTCAGACTTTGCGAAGAGTCGACGGCTCCCTCCATGACTACTCTTTTCTCTCTTTCAAATCTTACTCTTTTATGATTGCCTGCGGCTCGCTCATCCCCACACTGGTGTATCAGCTCGAGAGTCTTCGAAAAAAGACATCCCTTGGACTATTCGGAGACTCTCTGTTATAGTAGCACTATCGTGAAGGTATTAGTCGAGTCAGAAACGACTATTCCTCATCGATATTGTCGATAGCGGAATCCTTCCAGAGCCTCGCAAAGGAAGCCAAGTGGTCGCAGTTGATAAAGGTCTTGGAGTTTCGTTTTCTGAAATTCACAGCCCTCTCTCCACTCGCTCAGAAACAGAATCTAGCGAAGAGGAGGTGACGGTACGTTACCGAAACAACACCGACGCCAGCCAGCTGAAACTGTCGATTGAAGATGTTGTGGTCTATTTCTTCATAGAACTGTTCCCATGCCTATCGCAAATGAGCGAGCCTCTAGAACCGCGCGTCACCATGGACAGTGTGGGTCGACGAGATAAACTCGGACATTATTTCACTCTGCTCCTTCCATTCCGTCCCATGAGTCACAATATGTAGCTCTTCAGCCTTTCTTCTGGAACCATTTTTGGTGTTGAAATCATCGACGATGGCGTTGGAGTGGTCTTCTCTGAGGAGCCTTTCCAGGTCCATATAAAACGCCTCCACCACCTCTTCTCCGTAGCTTGATGTTGGTAGGCAAGCCACAAAGATAGCTGGAATTAAGCTACGTTCTCTTGATCACAAACGTTCGATTCGAGTTGTCAAGCTTTTGTGCGAATCTATGTTCATGGCTAAGCGCGTATTGACGAGGACACCTGCGCCGCCGACGCCTCTGCTGTCACATGCTCAAGTGATAGTTCTTTCACACTCTATGGAACAGCGTGCAGCAGGCAATGCCTTACCGCCTCAGTCAGTCCTATAAGTCGTACTAGAACTCCCCATCTTGCATCATAAGATCGAGAGTGCCATTGAAGGGTTTGAATGCCTCGTTGAATCCCTCTCTTTAGTCTGGCAGTGCCTACCTTCTGGAATGGTGAAATTTTGGAGATAAACTTGATGCAGCCACAAAGCAGCTGTGCATCCTTTAGTGATGACTAGCAAGACCCTAGTTGCTCATGGCTTCAATCACCGATTCTGTCTTGACGGTATCCAAAGCCTTTTTCGAATTGTTGAACGTATGACATAACAGCTTCTTGTACGATAGTATCGTGATACTTTAATGAACCAATAGCTGTATATCATTATGAGCAGAAACACTGGAACCAACTGCGATTCAGAAGGACCAAAACTTGAGAAGCTGTCCTGATCCATGAGAAAATGTCAGTCCATTGGTGAAATGTCAGGCGATATGGGTGTGCCAGAGCCTCGCAGCCTACCTCATTTTTCTTTGTAGGCATCACTTTTGAAATGTATTTCCAAGCCTTGTTGCAGGAGAATCGGGCACTCTTTCATGGGTGTGGTGCATTAGGAACGAAATGGTCGCGTCGCGATGAGAGGGGCGTCGCGCGCGAAGAAATGTAGCAGGATGCAGCAGTAGGTAAGAAATACAAGAACAAAGGACTAATAGTAGAATTATGTATAAAATAATGATCATATATCGATTGAGCTGTATGAAGAACGCTAGAGCTTTAATAACGGCGAGTGAGTGGTCCGCGACAGCCGCGTGCGGCGAATCGATTACCCAAAATCGTTCCTAACGCCCGTCTCCCCTCTTTCATGACTGACTCGAGAGTAGAGCTTGGAGTTTTCAATGCACTTTATCACTCTCTCTTAGTGCCCTCTTGCTGTGATGGTCCCACTGGGTTTCACGAAGCTATAGCGACTTACGTTAGTCACACACAATCACTATGGTCTTGGTGGGTTTCCGGTTCTCAGAACTGCTTAGGAGCGTGGTCCTGGTTCGATTCCACAGAAAATACTTCCCCTGTCGTACATGTGTGTCGTACATATGTAGAATATGGGCTGTACCTCAACACATCCATGATTGGAATGAATTTCTTTTGGTTTTAATGTGCGAATATTGCTACAGTGTGTCGAAGAATTAGAATCATATGAAAGCGAGAGACAATCCGTTAAGGAGCTTTGGATTGCAAGAAGCGCCATTTCGTGACAGCAACTCACTGCCACAAAGGCTGACTCACTGATAATGATTCAAGTATACTACTACAATTTTACGCAGCTGCTCTCAGTAGTTCATGGAAAGGTGAGATAAAAGAGATAGCCGAAGAGCCCATTAAATATGAGGGCCATAAAATCAGAGGCGACGCCATCGTACAGTGTTTCATATACTGGAATTTACCGTGCTTGAAATAATCTAAATCCTTATGGTTTTCAGTATTAGTTCTTCTCATTCTCTCGTTATCGGAGGCTAAACTAATCCCTCAAGTCGCATGACTGAAGTGAATTTAAGGAGGTGCTGACTTGGCCAAAATGTTTTCAACCATGGTAGGTAATCGCTTCTTTCAAATCTCCCTTTTTGAGCAGTTGCTTCGAAAACATGACATATTTTAGAAGCGCCTTGTACTTGCCCTTTGCTTATATCTATTCCAAGCAGCTGTCGCATCTGAAGCAGATTTCCTTGGTGGGTGTGAATTTCTGAGCAAGTACTAGAATCCTAGGAGGTTAGTTCTTCAAACTTTGATCCTGCAGCTGCACTTCAAGCTCAAGAAATTCCACTGCAAGCGCAGTTGCTCAGCGGTGAGGAGTTGACAGAGTATTTACAGAAGAATCAGAAATTCTTCGAGGTAATCCATTGTTTCTTTGATTCCTGATTGTGAATTCACATGGAAAACATCTGTTTGTAGGTCGAAGAAACTCCTGCAAGCGATGATTTTGAGAGCAGGTTGATGGATCTTAGTTTCATCGACCAGAACAGGAAGCCTATCGTTCAAGAAGCGATTAGCACATCTGGCGACATCCCGGAAAGGTTAGTCATCGCTTCTGCACTCATTCTTTGGAGTGCTTACCTGGATCAAGGCCCGAGGAATCCGCTGACATACTAAGTGATAGAGCGGTTAACGTGGGTGGGTACGACCTCTGTACGCACCACATAAGGGGCTTTCACTAACGATCATAAACGTTTGCAAAATATTACTGGTTTGTACCACTACAAGGGAATCCTGAGGTAGCACTTTGGATTCCGTCGAGCTAATCCCAGTTGCTCTAACATTAAACATGCTAAGCACTACAGAGAAACTAAACTTTTGCGAATCGGATTGCAGATAAAAGAGCGAACTTTCATGGGAAATCTAGGTATTGAACTAGGAAAAGACCATAATTTCGTAAGCAGAAAGCTGACCAAACTGAGTTGATTGTGAAGGAAGTAATTTTGTCGAAAGGTAGTGACTCTTTCGTCTCATGTGTGGCCTAATGATATTAAACAAGTTCTATTACAGTTTCGATGCCCGTACACAATGGCCTCAGTGCTCCTCACTCAGACATATCCGCGACCAAGCTAACTGCGGTGAGCAGCTCTTACTTAAGTCTAAGAAAAAAGTTTGGACTTGTAGAAGATCAGCTGAGTTTGCCGCAATTTTTCAGGCTCATGCTGGGCAGTAGCGACGGCGTCAGCCATTTCGGATCGTATTTGCATATCCTCTAATGGAAGACGTCAGGTGAATTTGATCAGTGATTTTTGAACGTACCTTTAAAGTCATAGGAAGAGTTTCAGGTGCACGTCTCAGCCACGGACATTCTGTCATGCTGCGGCAGGCAATGCGGTCGTGGGTATGGATCAATAATTGATTACAGTTTTGAAAAGACTTAGTTTTCGCCCTTTCACCCTTATCCCCTCCACTTACTCCCCACGGTCATCGACTCTGCCGTTTTTGTAAAAGAACGTAGGCTCAGNTAACTACCGTTCCCTGAGACTTGACGTGGTAACAGGGTCCGAGATCAGAGAGATCACTGAAAGTTGGCAAGTAGGAGATAGTATGTTTCGAGAAAAGAAAACAATCAGAGGCGATTCAGATGTAGCGGTGGCTTCCCAATTGAAGCTTGGAGGTTCTTCGTACGAAATGGTTCTGTCACCGGGGGAGATTACCGCGCAACGGTAAAATCATAACATCTTTCTTAAATTATGTATATTAGATATTTATTTATACGGTGAACATTTTGATAGGGTTGCTGCCGTCCTTACCCGTTCCACCCATGTGGACGTCATGGAAACGAGCCCTACTACGGAGAATGCAGAGAAAGTGCTGTGACTCCATTGTGTATAACTACGTGTGCAGCTGGTTACAGGAGATCATATAGAAGAGACAAGACATTCGGTAAGCTTTATATGGAAACCAGATAAATGTTCAATCATAACGCTTCGACGCACCTTGTTCAACAAAACTTCGAGAGTGAAATAATCGACGACTACTACAGAATGGATTTTCAGGCAGATCCGCATACGCGTTGCCGAATTCGGTCACAGCTATTCAGCGGGAAATCATGAGAAACGGACCTGTTGTCTCCACGTTCACTACTTATGATGACTTTTCGCGCTACCGAAGAGGAATCTATCGAGTACGGAGCTTTCAAAAATTCATCCCCTCTAAATATGCAAATCTATGCTTTTTGGTTGAAAAAAAGCAAGTACTGATAGTACTTTCTTCCAGCACACAGCAGGCCGAGCGCGAGGAACTCATGCAGTGAAGATTATCGGATGGGGTAGGGAAGGTGACGTGCCGTACTGGCTTATTGCTAACTCGTACCACAGTGACTGGGGAGAGAGTGGTAAGTATGCGAAGTGTCGACATCAGGACCGTTCGCACAATGATTGTATTGCAGGTTACTTCCGCATGATTCGTGGAACCAATGAGTGTGGAATCGAAGGAAATGTAGTCGCTGGAAGGGTTTAGTTATGTAAAGCACTACTATTCTAAATGCTACAAATGAAGTTTTGAAAGAGTGTTCAGTATTGGATTGAAAGTAATGACAATGATCACGGACAACCTGATTAATTAGTTGGTTAACGCTGAATACAGCGTTAACCAACTAATTACTGGTCAGGTTCATCATTTTAACATTTGACGGGAAGGATACTTGGTCGCAGTGGCCATTCAAGATGGATCTATACCGCCGTAGGTGGTTCCAAACCGCTGTTCGCTGGTCTCAAATCTGTGTTCCAAATTGGTCAAACGATTCTGAGAACAAAGTTACGGGACCAGTTCCTTCCTGTGTTATACCACTGCAGTGAACTGATAACCGAGCCGAGCAAAGTGCTTACCTGTGCACCGGTGGCCTAGCGGCTGGTGTGGTGGACTGATGGACATGACATCGAAGCTAGGCCCCTTGATGCGTGCGCTCGTTTTGCTTTTTCGTAAAATGTGTCCTAAAAGTTTGCAAAACGTTTTTTGGGCTCAACATTGGCCATCTACGGAGCTAACTCACATTTTAGTATTCCGGGGAACAGTAAACCAGTAAATTTTTTTTCACTCACCTGACCGAATATATATGCCTCCCTACCCCGAACAGTCAAGTGGGTGTTTCGAAATCTTCGGCAGCTCCCCGCACTTACGGTAGACGGCGGTCGAATGACTCATCCGACCCTTTTTGGGAGGGATAGGGTCCATACATACTACTAATACTGTACGCGTTTTCGAAGCGGTGGTACAGGTTAAATGGCATTGTTGAAGAAATACTGCAGAACAACATGAGGCTTTGTGTGCACGTAATTCCTAATGTGAACGCCCTTTCAAGAAGCCCTTCCATGGGATAAACGTGGTGGTGCAGTGGGACATAATACCACGGCTGTACTCAAAACCCTGGATTCGCCTACGACTTGCTTTGTAATTGTCCCCTATGGATGTTCATTGTTGATTTGAAGCGTCATTCAGTTCTGCAATGAGATCCCTACTTTAATTTCATGAAAAATCTTTCCAACTTATCCGCTAAACTGTATAGGTAGACAGATCGATCCGCTTGTTTTCACCTGATGGTGACGAATAGATAGGACATCACACTTTGTCGAAGATAGACTAACTCGAAAGCTCGTAGCCTCTCATACTTTGCCCTAAATTTCCGTAGACGGCACTCTGTCGTGATGAACGTGTTACAAAACGTGTATTTTATGTACGAGGAAGTGCGACTGCTCGTGACACTCGAACTATAGAGGGCTATGGACTCTTCTACCAGCGTCATAAAATTAGAGCTCATGGGCCTGATCATAAAGTTGAAGGCTACGTTTCACTCAGGAAGCTCCATATCCCCACAAACGTAGGGGGTTTCATTCGCGAAGTTCAACGTCGTTGTTCTTCCTCATCAAGCGACCGCAGAGGATCATTGCGGTCACCTTTCACAGGCTCGACTTCCTCGCAGTGGATAGCAAGATGTTTTCATGGCATCGAGTAGTACGGGTCGAAAGCTCCTTATTACCGCCTGTTCCTGGGAGGCGCCCACGTTACGCTGCAAATGAAAGTCCTCCATCAAATGCTATGGCACCACCTTCGGCCAGAATATTCCGCTGGTAACATGCTGAAGAGCGCTTGATCCGATGAATCATTTGGAACCATCCTCCTTGAAGCCTCTGAAGCCCATTTTAAGCGATTGTTCAGAATTACTCTTTTGTTCGAGTGAGCTCCAAAATTATTGGGCCGGTGAGGGCAGAAAAGAAGTTCCCCTGTTATACCTTCCCAGTGTTCCTGAAATGTAAGCTAGCTCCGTAGATGGCCAATATTGAGCCCAAAAACGTTTTGCAAGCGTTTAGGACACATTTTATGAAAAAACAAAACGAGCGCGTGCGTCAAGGAATCGAACACTGGTGTCATGCCTATCAGTTCACCGCATTAGCCGCTATGCCACCGTTGCACAGCTAGCGCCTCTGCTCGGCGCGGTGATTCGTTCATTGCAGTGGTATAATACAGGGAGGAACTGGTCCGATAACTTTGTTCTCAGAAACGTTTAGCAAATTTGGAACATAGATTTGAGATTAGCGTTTAGAACCAGCTACGGCGGTATACATCTCATAAATGGCCTGTGCGACCAAGTATCCTTCTCTTGTGAGTCTCGTCACATATGTTGCCAGCTTCGAGTGGAAAGTTCATCGTGGTTTCCCTACCCTCATGCCATTCTACTCACTATAGGTGGATCACGACAGCTTCATTAGCTGAGAAAAGCCAATTTTACCTTCTGCAGAATCGAGTACCAACAAAACGAAGAGGAAAACTTAAAACTCGAGTTTGAAGAACGAATACCAAAAGCCTCAAAGTCTTCGGAAGCTCAAACATAGTATAGTAATTGAAAAGATTTGTGGATTTTCAATGGTGGACCTTGACAAATCGGCTGAAATGTTGACGAAGTAGCAGTTTCGAAGCTCCTACGTGGGGTTATGGAGCGTTGCAGAAGTTTTTTAACCAGTAACCAATCTTCGGCGTTAAGGCAGTACGCTGCTGCGCCGGTAGGCTGTCGCCGGTAGGCCTTATTCAGGTGAGAAAGAAGAAGTATCATGCCTACTCTTCTCTCGATGCTTCCTTATCAATTGTCTATCTATTAGGTCGTGAAGAAAGTTCTTGCGGTTTTGCACCTCAAACTTCAAATGCATATATCTCGGCTTGAACGGAACTTCATCAATCGAAATAACAACTATTACTATCGACACACTTTTGTTAACGAAAAACAAGTTCGAGTATCCCATTCGCATAGGAGTCCGGAAATCTAGAGGCGTCGAATGCCGCGGCAGCATCATGTTGGGTTTTGAAGCATTTCTCCTTGAGAAAGCGTC